GTACAACCTTCTTTTATAAATAAAGTTGTATTGAAATACAGCCATGTCCACTTGTTTACAAATTATCTATGGCTCCTTTTGCCATTACAGTATCTGAATCAGAATTGAGTAGTTGTGAGGAGGATAAGTCTCTACTATGTGGTCTGCAAAGCCTCAAATATTTACGATCTGGTTTTTTGCAGAAAAAGTTCACCAGCCTCTCATTTTAATGGCTATCTAATACTCTGTTGTTGGAATGCTTAATAAAAGTTAATAGCTAACATTTAATAGTTCTTCAGTGAACATCTTTGATACATACCTATCTATAATTATTTCCTTAAGATAAATTGAGGTTTTCATATACAGGATGCAAATATAAGAGGGTGGTATAATTTAGATGCTTATGATTTGGGCCAGAAATGAGTGAGAAATGCGGAACCTTGTGTTTTAAATCCAAGGTCTCCACTCCTTATATGTGGTTTTAATACTATTTTTTCTGGTCTAGATTTTAAAAGTTCAAAATTATATAAATATAAATAGTAGAAAGTCCAGGTGTCGTACATCTGCACCCCATTCCTTCACCTCAGGTTAACCATTATATCTACCAGGTAGTCTGGTTTATATCCTGTGATTATCAGATAATAGTTTTTAACAATAAAAAATGTCTGCTTTATAGTTTTGTAGATCTTTAGATTGGTCCAATGTGAGCATGTTGCCAAGAGAATTCAGAGCCAAAGGATAATGCCAAGGGAGCTGTGACCTGCTCCTTGGGTTGGACCAAGTCATCCTACTCCTGTTGCTAAGTTCTGGTGCTTTCCTCCCCAGGTCTATCATGAGAGGCTGTGACAACATGTGCAGCTACTGCATTGTACCTTTCACACGTGGCCGGGAGAGGAGTCGGCCTGTTGCCTCTATATTAGAGGAAGTGAGGAAGCTTTCTGAGCAGGTGAAAAATTCTCCAGGCTTTCTTACTGTGAGCATGTCTGGGAGGATGAGGACAACTTTTCTAGTCTTGCAGTCTGTGCTCTCTCTAAGCTATACAAGTTTAGAAAAATATCTGACCAGAAAGAAATACCTAGGTATACCTCTTTGGTTTGCTGCCAACAAATTATAGGCAGATCCACTGAGATGTTTGCTTAGGAGGCAGCACAGTAGAATGGAGAGAGCATGAGTTTAGAATTAGATGATTGTGAGTCCTGGTTCCACCATTCTCTGGCTTGTTGCCCTGGCACAGGTCATTTAACTATCTTTTTTTTTTTTTAACATTTTTTATTGATTTATAATCATTTTACAATGTTGTGTCAGATTTTTTTTTTAATTGAAGTATAGTCAGTTTACAATGTTGTGTCAATTTCTGGTGTACAGCATAATGTTTCAGTCATACATATACATACATATTCCTTTTCATATTCTTTTTTGTTATAGGTTACTACAAGATATTGAATATAGTTCCCTGTGCTATACAGAAAGAACTTATTATTTATGTATTTCTTATATAGTAGTTAATGTTTGCAAATCTCAAACTCTCAGTTTGTCCCTTCCCACCCCCTTAACAAACCATAAGTTTGTTTTCTATGTCTGTGAGTCTGTATATGTTTTGTAAATAAGTTCATTTGTGTCTTTTTTTTTTTTTTTGACTGTCTTCTTCAAAACACTGTTTCCTTATCTGTGAAAAGAGGGTAAAATAATACCTTCTTTGCTGGGTTATTGGAAGGATTGTTATTGGAAGGATATAGTAATTTAAATATTTTTAAACTACCCTGACACACAGTAAGTTTTCAGAGAATGATTTATCAGTTTGTGTATTCTAGGGTATTCCCAAATCTTTTGTTCATTTTATCACTGAGCCAGCTCACTAGTTGAGGGACAGAGGATTGGTCAGGATAGTGAGTCAGATCAGAAGCCAAAAGGAAGATACTGTCTGCCTTCCTCCTATTGGGATCTGGTTCCTCAGTCTTTGAGGAGTTCTCTCTCTAACCCTAGACCCTAGTCTTCTAGCCCTGCAGAAGAGGACAGTAGGTGGGTTGTTGATAAAGTATTGCAAATTACAGCATGGCTTTTTACCCTTGAGTAATTATACATCCCTGAAAAATAAGGATATTTTCAATACCATTAATTCTAACAAGATTAACAAAAATTGCTAAATATCATCTCATCCTAATCCACCCATATTCACATTTTCCCAATTGTTCATGTTTTGCATTTGGTCATTATGTCTTTTTATATGTGCGTGTATTTTACTTAATTTTATACACTGCTTAAAAAATATTTTTTTTTGTTTTGGAATAACTTTAAATTTACAGAAATGTTGCAAAGATGAAGTTACGTCTAATGTTAACATCTTAACATTGGTACATTTTTCAAAACTGAAAGATTAACGTTGGTACATTACTAGTAAGTAACTTTAGAGTTTATTCTGATTTTTGCCAGCTTCCCCGCTAATGTCTTCTTTCTTTTTCAGAATCCAGTCCAGGATCCACATGCACTTAGTATGTTTTAAATTAACATTATGTCACAACTTATTAAAATAAATAGTCTTTATGAAGGCTAGAGTTAAGACAGTTAAATGCATTGCATGATCCTGGAGTGGATTCTGATCAAGGGAAAAAAAAGTTATAAAAAATAGTATTTTTATGTGTTGTGATCTCACTGCCTAAGCAGTTTTGTATCCTCTCCATAATAATGTGAACATTTTCTCATGTCATTAGCAGTGTTTAGCTTTATTTTTGTAGTTGT